AAATAAGGACTTTCGGAACTACAGGGAACTGTACACCAGAAAAATTAGTCGTGAGGAAACAATGAGGGATCTTTTTAATAGGTTGCTATTTTCTTCTGATCCAAAAATATCATGTTTGTCTCGTAGTACATCTCTTAGCCATCGATATAGTGAGCCACTATCTGAAGAAGTCCTTAAACTACTGGAGGATCCAATGCTACCAACTAATTCAGATCAAAACTCGGATGAATGAATGTGAATGAATGTGATTAGTATTTAATAAGTAACGCCTAAATTTTGTAAAATATATATAGTTTAATGTTTTAGATATGTAATATTTACAATAATAAAGATATATATAATAACAATAGTGTTTGGCCTTAACCCACTTTTTACCCTCCAAATGTTTCCGAATTTTTAAAAGAAGCTTCCATTCTAGGAGTACTATTAGTTATAACGAAAAATATTGCTTATTATAAAATATTTCAATTGCCTCAAAATAGTAATTTTCACCTAAAAATTTAAGCTTTTTCTAAAAAAAAAATCGGCGCTTAATGGGTTAATAAAAAAAAAAAATTGCCAAATTTTTTCATAAAATACTTAAAATTGTCCATCTAAATCTATTCTTATCCAAAATATCGATAAACATACAGTAAAACATCTACTTTGATTTTCTGCGCGCTAGATCTGCATTTTTTCCCACTGTGCTGCGGGGGTGTCTCGTACTCCGGCGATGACGATTCAGATTATGAATCGGACGACGACACCTGAGACACACTGGGAGACGTGCTAGCGCATCATGAAGCGACGTAACTCCTTTCGCAGTACTCCTGGATCCTGTTCAGTCCAGAGCAACCTCGACATTCATTGCACCTCACCGATATTGATCTATGGTGGATGCAGTTTCTGGGTCCGGGTGAATTTCAATCCCGGCACGGACCAGTAGCGTTCGGAGCAGGCATTCCGGGATATAATGACGTACACGTACATGTAGTTGCTGAGGTGGCAGCCTCTGGTCGGAGTCCATCTCCGAGTCAATCCGGTACATAGAACCAGCCGACGTGGGATTGCCGGCCATGGTGATGGTGTAGGCGGCCATAACAGCCGATGACCACTCTCTGCTTGTATTAATCGACCGTGACATCAGAATAAACGCCGAATATTATCGCAAAAATATTCTGGAGGGTGTATTAAAGCCCTGGGCACGCAAATATTTTGGCCGCAGACCTTGGACATTCCAAGAGGACTCAAATCCATCGCACTCAGCCACCTAAGAATAGTTACAAAATGAGGTTCCTCGCTTCCAACGCACAATGGCCACCAAAATCTCCTATTGCGTCTGGATAATTTTGGAAAGCAAGGTTGGCACTGAAAAATACCAAATTGTCGATTAGCTGAAGCTAGCGCTTCCCCGAAATTGGGCCAAAAATACCGGACATCGTTGCCCAACATTCGGGCAGCGTGTAACGGTTTCATTGACCGTTTTCCAACCGAATCGGCTGTAAATTGGCAATTTTGGTTCTCCTTATATAGCACATCTCCGTACCAAAATTATTAATACTAACCCAAGTTTCAAGGTAGTCGCCATATAACGTTACTCACAATATTCAGTATTTTGGGGATTTTGGACACGTTTTTCAACCGCGCAGGCAGTCAAATCTCATTACCTAAAAATATAAATATTGATGACAGTTTTATTATAGCTCCCATATAACGGTAGCCCCACTATTCGATATTTTGATCATTTTTCAATCATCTTTTTCTCACGTATTTGTCGGTATGTTCTGTAGGTACTCTTTATTATTTTTCATTTTATAATTTGTCAATCAAGTTTTCATTGGAATAATATGCATATACATATTTTCAATTTGTAACATATGATATTAGTCATGTAGTAAGAATTGGCTTGTTAATAAATATACATCGTTAACTTATTGGAAATAAACGTGTTCCTACAGTTCAAAGTCCTAATTTTAAATATTTTGTTTGTCATCCTCACTGTAGAGTGTATAAAAAGTTCGACAGGGCCGAACATAACATCGTTTTTATAACCTCCTCCATAGTATGGAGGGTAAATAAAATTTTGTTTTTCCGTTTGTAACTCATCGAGATGATCATTCTCATCAATTATGCATAGCACCTCATAACTTTCTTTTTCCTCTGCAATGACAATTTTCATATTGAACCAGCAGCTTGGTGTTTTTAGGAAAATTTTCCAAATCGGTTTGTAGAAATGTCGGTATAGGTCCACATTTTGGTATGTTTCCTATGTTTTCATTTCAAGTACCTGTCAGAATACCTATACCTATTCGGCCCGGCCGAACATAACGCTTTTTTACTCGTTACTTGTTTGTTAGTGTTATTTGCTTTTTAACTTCTTTACAACTCTTAAATAATCACCCTTTTGCAAATATAGATGTCGAATATGATTCAAAAAATCCCAAACCGCTAATGAATAAATTTTACATATCATGTCAGTAGGTTGCAACTAATTCTGTCTCTAGCCACATATCCGTAAATGACCTCTAATGGATGGTTATTTTTTAGTTTTGCCATTTTAAATGACATACATACATTATTTTCGTGTGTACTCCACCTAGAATGTATCTCAAACAAAAGGCCATTCAACTACGAACGTGTATATATTACATTTATTTTCATTGATTGTGTTTTCCCATGACATTTATGGGTTTTTTGGTATACTCATTTGTTTTATAAAGTCATGGATCGTCATTGTAAATAAATTTTGTTATTAAATTAAAAAAAAATGGAATTCAAAAAAGTTTTTATAATTTTTTTTTTTTTTTTGTATTATAAAAATGTTCGTTTCAAATTTGTAAACGACAAAATAACATTCTACACGATTTGGAGATCAGATCAGAATACATATTTTGTATATGTGTGTGTAGTGTTTTGAATACTATTCCGAATTCGGAACAAAACTCTACAAAAGTATCCGATTTTCTTGGGCATTTTAGACAAGTTTTTCAACCGAATTGCCTATGGTATAATAATATAAGGTAACAGCAAGTGTTGTTATAATAAAATTGAAAATGAAATTGAAAAACATGAATGAAAATCTATAAAATTTATATTTCTATCGCTTCCAGATCTTTCCTATAATTGAGCCATTGTCACTTATATGTGTAACACATATGAAAATGTTGGGAATTGCGAGTTATTCCATGAAGACAGATTTGCTGCCTAAAACTTTCCCAGCAGGCAGATTGAGTAAATTGAATACAGGAAGACATTTAATGAAGAACAATTTCGAAATGTATGCGTTCCCAATTTTGCCGTTGGGTGATTTTTAAAAACATAATTTGTCATATTCATATTGACACTAGTATTACGTTGGAATCAAATCAGCTGCGTTTTTCTGTTACTTTTTATAATTGTACCATGCGAATTGCCTGTAATTTGTATTCTCATTGGCTTTCAAATTTCAATACCCGAAATTATCAAGGTAGTCTCATGCAGACATATGATTACGATTTTTTCATAATTTGTTTCCAGTGGGAATTATTACAAAATGTTTAATTATTGCCAAATGTTTAATTATTGTTTCATTTCAGTACCATTCCATTCATTAAACCATAGTATATATATATAAATTTGGATAAGAATTTGTTATGGACTTGACCGACAAAATTATGCAGATAAAGATATTGATGTGATTGCAATATTTCTGTTGAAAAAATTAACAGGTTTACGAATGATAACTGTTCAGTTATGATTAAAATTGCAAAAAATTAAATGTTTTTTTTTTATTTTCTTGAAAAAAGTACTCTTTTATTAAAAAAGTAATCTTTTGGTACCTTTTCACATTTTTCATTTTCCATCCCTGGATGAGTCTCAAATTAAAGAGGGTTTCCATTATTAATTTCTCAAATGAGACTATCATCTGTAATTATGCCATGCTCGTTTTGGTATAGCCCCATTATATTTTTCTCACGCCTTTTCCGGTATATTCAAGGTCATATCGTGGCATGAGTTTTCTCCTAGGAGACCCCAATTATTTTACATATTTTAAATGTCATCCTTGCTTAACTTTGTTTTAACTTTTTTTATTATTTTCATTGAAATTATTCTACATTTTCATTGTGCCATGATTGCGAACAACTGTTGATTCGCATATATGCTTTCGGTTTTCGATTTTAACGGAAAATAGTAGTCTGACTGAATAGTAATCAATAGGAGGAATGTACTGTAGTTGACGCGTTTTCTAATACAACCCTGATTAATATTGCCCCAGGAAGATTTAACCAGTTAGGCGCATCAGCACAGCTGTTGATGCAATTTAATGTCAGAAATGCGGTTGTAATTTCAGACCAAACAATTTAATACCAAAATTATAAATGAAAGTCACTGAATTTTGAAGAGATTGTTCGTCAATGCATTTATTAATAATTTCTGAATGAATTTGTGTTCGAACTCTTATGAATCGTTTTGTTTCTGCAATATATTATTGACAAGTTATTGTACTACTGCCCAATATTATCAATTTCCTTCCAAACACTACAACAACTCGAAAAAGGGGGTGAAAATACAAAACAGCTGTTTACGATTCTACCCCATTTTTTAAATAAGGGATAACATAGCCAGCCCCCTACTTTGTGTCCTTTGTGTATATCACACTATTTTTTCCTTTGTACTTTTTTTAACAGATACAAAGCGAACAATTTTCTTTATTTAAAGTACGTAACAAATAATAACTAAGCAAGTGAATTAATAATTGTAAAACATTATAACTGAATACCAATAAATTAAATTTTCAACAGGATCAAAAAGGCATCAATGACTCACATCAAAAATAATGTATTAGGCGTGTACTAAATGGCTCGGGATAATGGATGGCATAAAGGCAGTCGCGAGTATGTTCAATATTAGTTATGAAATCTAACAGATATATCTTAGTTGGCTACTTACACACAATCTATCATCTCCATTGCAGATTTAGAATACCGACTTAAATTATAAAGCTGAAGAATTATCTATCCTAAAGTGGGAGCGTTAATTTGTTGTCCAATTCAAATATGCCTAGTAGCCTGCTATTTGCCAACAGCAGTGAAGGTAGAGTTTATACCTTATCAACCAGTTCTGCTGCGTGGAGGGAATTTCCCTACAATGGTCTGGAATTCAAGAAAATCTCAGCTGTTCCCAACTTTATGTGGGCTATTGGCGGTGACCGCCAAGTTTACGTTCACGTACATGGCCTAGATGTACCCATACGAGTGAAGGAGGAATCATATGAAAATGAACGTTGGTTGCCAATCGAAGGATTCTCAAAAACCCTATTGCCCACAGATCGCTTCAAATATTCTTCAGCCGATGGCCAGCAAGACAGATCCATAGAGAAAATACGGCTGCCATCGATGGCATGGCAGTGGGACGGTGACTGGCACTTGGAGCTGGACTTGGATGGAAATTCCCTGGGTGAAGATGGTTGGATGTACGCTCTAGATTTTCCAGCCACATATTCGGCGAAGAAATCTTGGAATTCATATGTTCGACGACGTAAATGGGTGAGGTTTCGTCGCTACAGTGCATTGAATTGTTGGTGTGCTGTGGCCCCACTACACAAAGATCCCACCCAGGAGCCTTTTACCGATGTGGCCATAGGCGGTACAAATATACCAAATGCACCAACGGGAACATTAGTGGTTTGGGCTATAACAGCCCATGGCAGGGTATTTTTTCCATCGAATTAAAAATGTTTCTTTTTCATTAACAAGTGTTCTTTGTAGGCAATGTTTCGTAGTGGTGTTTCAGCAACAGCACCAGAAGGTCTTCGCTGGACAACTATTCCAACACCACCCACCTGTGAATTGGCCCAATTAAGTGTTGGTCCCACTGGTCTGGTTTGGGCGGTACTTTTCAATGGTCATGCCATTGTACGTTCAGGCGTAACGCGTGAAAACCTCTCTGGCGATGCTTGGCTGGATGTTAAGGCACCATCCCATGCCAACAACCAGGAACCCACTAGTGGTTTGAAAATAGTTCAAATTTCCGTTGGCACAAATGCTGTCTGGTGCGTTTGTAATGATTGCAGCGTATGGTTTAGACGTGGCATAAAAGGTGACTTGGCAGGGGTATGTGAAGATGCCGCCATTGGCAGCGGTTGGGTGGAAATGATAGGTAATATATCAATGGTTTCGGTGGCTGCCAATGATCAGGTGAGTAAAGCGTACATTTGTGCAAACAATTTTTGTACTGTTATGGACATGTATTCATTTATTTCACCACTTTTTACTTATAGGTATTTGCAATTGGTTCTGCCGATCGTGCCCTTTATTACAGGTTTGGTGTCACACCTTCCGACCCCACAGGGAAAAAATGGCGTTTAATACAATTGCCAATGCAAGTTAGTCGTACGTCAAGTTCTATGTCGATAGCCTCACGACGAAGCGGTAGTTCATCAACACCCGGCTCAAAACAACAGAGTTTTTCCAATCTTTATAATAAGGAAAAAGAAAAAGGCGTCGTGGAAACCTGTGCGCCAATAGAAAATGTTGTCTCTAGTAACAACAGCAACCATGGTCCGCCGTCAAGATTGAAAGGAGAACTCTATCGGCATTATTCAGATTCACCACCCAACATCGGTAGTTTAAATTTAAACGAACGTCACAAGAAACGCACTTCGGCCTTAAGAGAGTTGACGCATGCGTCTAGTGCTCCTGGTACAACTGAGGTGGCCGAAGTTAGTGGCAAAGCTTATGAAACACATTTAAAAAATCCCCGGGCATGGTCGCCGGTACGAAGTGTTGGTTCCATGGTAGGCACTGAGGCTCATCCGGAAAGTGATTCGACTGTGTTTGATGCCGATTCAACACATCATGGTTCTGATGCATTCCTAGATGATGATGATCATGCTGGTAGGATTTCAATTCAAATTTTCATAGAGTAATTGATATTCTGATTTTGTTATTTGTTTTTTAGGTTCCCAGTTTTGGACTGAATGTGAAATTATGTGGTCTTATATAACAGCTGGTGCTGTTACCATTAATCCCAGCAATTTACCCAATTGGTTTAACGATCAAAATTCTCCAGTCGACAACCAAATAAATGTAGACTCTGCATGGCGCCAAGATATTTTGGAAAAATTACGAAAACGGCAGGAAACCTTCAATAGCCTAGTGAGCCAAGCTAAATATGAGAAAGCTGTTGAGCTTTCGTCTTGGATAAAAACAGCAGAAGCACGCTATCAGCGACCCGGCTGTCAGGATTTTGAAGACTGTCTCATTGAACTGGAATGGGTGAGTGGCAGTTCGGCCACAACGCCCACATCACAGAATCCAACAATTCAAAAAGATTCTGATTCGGGCACATTTACCGTACTGAATCCTGATGGGGTTACTGCGAAAATACAATTTTCCCTATCAGCCATCACATGTGTTATGTGCTGCAGTGAACCTGCTTCCCCACGATTGGCCATACATGTAACAAGTCTTGTAAGTTCAAATTGTTCACCGGTTCGCCTACTCTTCTCCAGTGATAGTGAAATGGAAGATTGGCTTTCACATCTAACATCGGTGTGTTGTCAAATAAATGAAGTGGTAGCTAAGCCGGCAAACAATTCCATCTGGGCCACTACAGAATTGGGTGATGTTTTTGTCTTCGATCCGGCTAATATGAAAGCGCAACAGTGGGAAAGTTCTACAAATAGTTATAAACAAGAAATGGATGTCAGTACCCTAGAGACTCCGTACTATAATACTCTACATAATGGGTAAGCTATACACAACTCGTTAGTTATCGGTAAAACCTTTTTAATTTAAATGCATTGCAGAATGCCTTGTGGATCAGAATTGATTATATCTGGCTGTGTTTATGATGATGCTGATCAAATACGTTTCGATTTACAGTGTCATTCGTCACTTAAAGTTGGTGTAAAAGTTGAAAAACATCGTGTTATTGCTATGCACTTAAACCCTAGGTAAATATCACGAAGAAGATTTTTATATTTTTATTTGTTTCATAAAATGTTTTCAATTCTTACTCAGATTCAATGAAAATACAACAGTGTTAAATACAATGGAAAATTCCGAGTGGCAAAATGAAACACGCTATGATAAAATGGTATTCGCACCCGGAACAACATTTACTCTGAAAATAAGGTAAACAAATCATTTATTTATGACTAATAGGACTGATAGTATTAATCAGAAATATGCGTTTTATTTCAGAGCCCTGGAAACTCACTATGCCGTTATGGTGAACAATTCATATTTTGTTGATTACAAATATCGTGTTGATCCCGACTCGGTAACATGTCTGTATGTAAGTGGTCGAGTAAAACTCTTCAACGTTATCTATCGTTGCCCCAGTGTCATTTTAAATCCACAATTAATGTTTTGGCGACAAATTGGCGGTCACATTAAGAAAGTTTTCAGTTGTTCCGCCGGTGTCGTTTGGGGCATGACATGCGACAATACAGCATGGGTATACAACGGTGGTTGGGGTGGTAATTTCTTAAAGGGACTGGAAGGGAATGTGGGTAAAATTAATCCCATGATAGATACACACAACTATTATGTGTATGAAAATCAACGCTGGAATCCAATAAGCGGGTTCACCACCAAAAGCTTACCTACCGATCGATTTATGTGGAGCGATGTAACCGGACGACAGAAGCGTAGCAAGGAGCATACAAAACTCCTGTCATCACACTACGAATGGATATCCGATTGGGCGATCGATTATAATATACCCGGTGGCTGTGATAAAGAAGGATGGCAATATGCTATTGATTTTCCTGCCACTTATCATGCTCAAAAACGTCTAACCGACTGTGTAAGACGTCGTCGTTGGCTGAAGAAGTGCCGGCTGGTCACCAGTGGACCTTGGCAGGAGTTAAGCCATTCGAAAATACTCGATGCTGCATTACAGGTATTACCAAGCGACAATAATAGCGTCAACAGTGAGAATATCGAGGAGATATCAATATGTGCCTGGGCCATAGCTTCCAACGGCGATGTGCTGTATCGTCATGGTGTGACATCATTAAATCCTAAAGGAGATAACTGGGAACATATACCAAGTGAACAGCCCCTGATAGCGATTAGTATTACACCAGCAGGACAAGTTTGGGTTTTGGGTAAAAATGGTACAATATTCTATCGTTACGGTATAACGCAATTAAATCCCTTGGGTGAGTATATATATATATATATTTCTTTGTCACAGTTGTGACCCGATTGAGCTAATGAGTTGCATTTTTGTTTTAGGAGATGCATGGCAACCCATTGATGCTCCAAGTGGTACTAAATTTAAAGCAATTTCTGTGGGTCAGGCTGGTGTATGGGCCTTAGATAGCACAAATCGTTTGGCTGTACGCAAAGAGATAACCAAAACATTCCCAGAGGGTTCCCACTGGCAATTTCTGCCAAATGTTGCAAATATACCACCGCACACTGATACCCATTTGGGCTTCAAGGCAATATCTGTGGGAACCGAAGTATGGGCCGTTGCCATGAATGGGGTACTTTGTCGACGTTGTGGTATTACAAAAGATAATCCAGCTGGTGCTGGCTGGAGTATGGGTATACCGGTATGTATAATATATATACACAATTTCTTTATTTTAATGCATTTTTTTCATTTCTAATGTTACAGGGACAATGGCAGCATTTATCGGTAGCTAGTTTTTCATAAAGAAATATGGTTTATCCATGCTTTTGGGATTTATTTGCATTTCCATCATCTACTTGTATGATAAATGGCTGTTGCTTTAATTGCATTCGAAAAGAAAACTTCCCCTTCCCCTTATTTATATAAAATTTATTTATTTTCGTTTATTTATTCCTGAGACTTTTTGGCTGACAAAATACATATACATACAATGATGTATTTTACGATTTAGATGCTCCTATAGTTGTATTAATGTTGAGTAAAGTTTAAAAAATATTTTTTTTTATTTTAACATTCCATATTTTGTTATATACTTATATATTTGTTTGCATATTGTAAAAACTCATAGCAAAACCCTATTTTTCTGCTCCCTTTATAAAAACCAAAAAATGTTCATTCTCATTATCGTCTATTTTTAGTTCTATGCCAAATATTCAAATATATTACAACATGTAATTAAGTTACAATATAATTATATTTACTTATGAACATAATAAATATTTATTAAAACACATAGATCGAAAGGCTAGCTGTTTGATTATGAAAACAAAAACAAATTAAAGAACAAGAACTGCTGGTCATGAATGAGGGAGGCAATACAAATTAGAAGACGTGTGTATTGACTTTTTTAAATTCGCAAGAATTGCAATAGTCCATCATTTATAAGCGCTTATATTGACTGTAATAATGTTGTTAGGATTTGAGTTATTAAAAAATTCCATTGCAAAAACAAACAATAAATTTCAGTACATTAAATATTTTACTTATGTTTTCTTGCCGATGTTTTTGTCTGTTGTATTTTTTTTTTTTTTATATTATTTTTTATTTTTTTTTTATTTTTTATATACACTGATATTTATAACATTCGAAAAAATTGACTACAATTTTGCAAAACTGCCACCTAATAATAGTTCTTAATTCACTTTGTTTAAAACGTTATCTTTGAAATTTATTTTCAAATTCATAATACCAATCTATTTGACTTTGGGACAATGACGACTTCAGTGATGTTTTCATTACACGAAGAAAATCTTCATGTTTTATTTCGCTCGTATTGAAATCTCGTTGAAATGCATTAATTGCCGCCTCATTGCACAGATTACAAATATCAGCACCCGAAAAATTCTGCGTTAATTTGGCAATATCATTTATATCTACATCTTTGGCAAATGGCATTTTTTGCTGATATAAAATCAATATTGAACGTCTCGATTCATAATCCGGAGCTGGTACATGTATTAATTTATCGAAGCGGCCAGGACGAATTAAGGCATCATCAACCATATCTGGACGATTTGTGGCGGCCACAACAATTATATGATTGTTTGAATTAAAACCATCTGTTGAGCCTACAATGCCATCCATTTCCGTTAGAATTGTCGATAGAATGCGTATCTGAACATCTCCCGAGGAACCATTTACAGCTCTTCGACCAATCAGGGAATCTAGAAAATAAGCCAAACAGATTATGATTTTAAACACATTATAATCATTTAAAAAATCACACTTTACCAATTTCATCCAGAAATATTAAACAAGGAGAATTTTTGCGTGCGGTATCAAACATTTTTGCAATGAATTTTTCAGCACAACCCACATACGGTGAATAAACTTCTGCCCCCGAAGTGGCAATAAAAGTCATATTTGCTTCGGTGGCTAAACATTTGGCTATCGTAGTTTTGGCACATCCCGGTGGTCCATACAATAGTACCCCTTTCGGCATTGTCAAGCCAAAACGACGAAAAGATTTCTCCTGTTTTAGACCAGCTAAAACCGTTACGTCCAAAATCTTTTTCAATTGCTCCATACCGCCAATGTTAGAAAATCTCTCCTTTGTTTTACAAACACTGACATCGGTTTCTCGAACCGATACAGGTTTTGATTTTTTCAAACATTCCTCGGCAATCCATTCATGGGATATATTTGATCTGGTCAAAATAAGATGTGTAACGTTGCGTACAAACAAGGCCAAATCGGCGAGAACATAACCCTGTGTCTGCTTAGAAATCCAATCCAATAAATGCATTGGGAAACTATTATCAGGTAGACTAGCATTAAAAAGTTTTTCAAGAATTAGCCTGCGATCCTCAATTGTCAATGCTGAGAGGGGAATTTCTTGGTCAAATCTACCAGGCCGCTTGACCAAATCATCTAAATTTTCAGCATTGTGAGTTGTGGCCAGACATAAAATACCCCTTTTCGATTGGCCCAATTCGTCTAATAGTGATAAAAACTGGGTCAGCAGGCGCATTGCATTTGTTGATGTTTCAGAATTATTTACTTTACTTTTTGTGTGCGGACATAATAAGTGTAGGTCTTCAACAAGAATTACGTTCATACCTGTTGGTAACAATGGAAATTAATTACAGAATAATATAACGCACTGCAATATAAATGCTCACCTTTTGAAGGGAAATTATCGTTAAAAAATGTAACACTCTTAAAGAAATGTCTTAGTTCCATTTCAGCCTCTCCGGGATATTGTTTTATTAGATTTGAAGATTTCAATCGAAAAACATTACATATGCGTTGATGTAGATAATCTTCAATTAAGAATGTCTTGCCACATCCAACAGAGCCCACAACTAATGCGTTTATATTCATTCTTTGTGAACTCCGACTCGACTCCTTTTGAATTTTTGCAATTTCCATTAAGTCGTCCAGTTGTTTGTGGACTGTGTTAAAAGTGGGCACATCAGAACAAACAAAATTCCTATCCTTATCGTAATTTGCAAGCGAAATATTCGCAACGGTAATTTTAGTCTCCTCGGTAACAATAAATCGGCTATAATTCGAAACATTCCTTATTTCAATAGAAATATAATCCACCCCGATCCGTTGGAACTCTGTGTCCACAACAATGCATGTTGTACACAAATGATATGCCTGCAACAAATTCTGAGCCATATCAATCAGGAAGGTGCGTGGCAGTGATGTCAAGTTTAATATATTATTAGCATTAATGTGAAAGGAAACTTCCAATTCTTGCAACGGTATTTCCTCATTACGATCTAATAATTCGATCTTATTCAGGACGAGTTTATCATTCATAGACATAAACTTGCAAACCGTGACATCTAAATAACAGACGGAGTCCGCATCACCATCTCGAGGAAATATTTGACACAGTGCAAAATTCATTTCTTCACTTCCTTCCACGCGGAACCAACATCTTGCCCAATCTCCTGCGTATCCAACTTTTCCAAGCACATTTCTAGGCAATAAACACTTTTGCGAAATTTTATTACACTCGAGAGTTTTTAGCGGTAATACCGGTAAGTTTAACATCGTGCACTTTAGGGCAAGATCTATTAATAAGGTCACCAAGGTAGCAATCGAAATCGGAAAACAGCTGTTTTTTCTCAAGTCTAATGTCAACAATTTCGACTCTGTTTACGTTTTCATAATGGAAGTCAATTCACAATAATGCATTTTGACAGCAAATTTGAGAGGTATCGATTATCAGCTGGTCTCCCTGGGCGACCTCATGGCCTATAAATAAGGTCACCCAGGAAGACCTTTATAAGTTGCTATGGCCTACCTTGGATAATTGTACCATGGTATAATTATTACAAGGTAGGGCACAACTACCAACTGATTACAATTTTTTCTCAAGGTGGCTTGTTCCATCAAATCAAAATACATATTTTGTGTATGTGTGTGTATTGTTTTGAATACAATGTCAAATAAATTCAAAATAAATTGAAATATATTCAAATTTAATTAAAATGAAAATTATGTTTTTAACACGTTCGTCTGGAAGTAATTACTTTGTTATGGATGAAACAAACATTTAATGGTATTCCCAACTAGATTTTGGGAAGAAATCATAACCTTTCATTCATTTTTCGTTTTGTGTTGAAAAAATGTCAAATAAACACAAACACTTGTTGCGTATATTTATTTTATTTTGGCAGAAGAAGCCACACGTGCATAGTTGATTTTTTGTTATTTACCTCAAGCTGCCCTACCTTGTATTATTGTGCCATGCTATGGCCTACCTTGAGTAAATGTACCATGTTTGAAACTTTGAGAGAAAACAACCTCATCTAAATCGCAGTGCGAACATGACATTAATTGAAATAATGTGGCATCTCTATTTGTTCACATACACGGACAGTAGTGTCAACAATGCGAATTCGTTTCTCATGAAGTCTCTCCATCCCACATCATTCGTAAATATTTCGTTATCCTACTTTGAGTTCTCCTTTATCGGCAATTTCGTTTCTTCCCCCATTCGTTAGCAAGAGGAGGGTTGCGAACTACCCTGGTGCGGCACGTAGGTTTTTTATTCATTCATAAAAGATTATTTATTTAGAAATATAAATACAATACTAATTTAATTAATATATTTAAAAGTGTACAACAACTTCAAAGCATTCATCATGTTTTATCGTCTGATGTAATTGTTGTCCATTTTATTAAATTACGCCCGAGAATAAACAATTTTCGTCTAACAAAAAATATATCTATATTATTAAATATGGAATCGAAGAAAATGCACCCTTCCCTTCTGATAAGTGGTGAGTATTGTTGCAAATTAAAAGCGATAAAGGGAATAATGCTTATAATTATTTATAGTTTTAATTGGTGTATTCATAACACCGTATGTGTTCGAACGAGTTGAGGCTGCAACAAATTCCAAAGTATTTGAGCTCACGGATCGTTTCATCGACGTACGTCATGAAGGCCAATGGCTAGTAATGTTCTACGCCCCTTGGTGTGGTTATTGTAAAAGGACAGAGCCAATATTTGCCTTGGTAGCACAGGCTTTGCATGCCACCAATATCCGAGTGGGACGATTGGACTGTACTAAATATCCAGCTGCAGCCAAGGAATTTAAAGTACGCTCATATCCAACTATAATATTTGTTAAGGGCAACATGGAGTACACCTATACAGGCGATCGCTCCAAAGATGAATTAGTAGATTATGCTCTTCGAATGAGTGGTCCACCGGTTCAATTAGTTACTAGGACGGAAAGTGTTGATATGCTAAAGGGATCGCATACGATATTTTTCATGTTTGTGGGACAACAAGAAGGTGTTGTGTGGGACACATTTTATGCTGCCGCTGAAAACTATCAAGAGCATGGGTTCTTCTACGCCACTTCGCCAGATGTGGCTGCGCAACATTTCGATTTTGAGCATTTACCAGCCGTTATTGTCTACAAAGAGGAACAGCATCACTTCTATCCACATGCTCATAAAGCACACGAGATGGACGCCGATTTGGTCAATGAAACAATTCATCAATTTGTTAATGTGGAGCGTTTTGTGGCTTTCCCCAAAATAACCAGATTCAATATCAACCAATTGTTAAAAACCAAGAAGTATCTTGTCGTTGCCGTAGTAGAAGAGGATAAACTTAACCAGATTGCAACGCATGAATTGGAGTTCCGAGATATGGTGGAGACTGTAATAAGGAAACATCGTGATCGTTATCATGACAAGTTCCAGTTTGGTTGGGTAAGTAGTAAAACATAGTACACACTTCACGTCGCTGAATGCCAAATTTATTTTTTTCAGATTGGTGATCCAAGTATTGCGCATTCTATTATCATGGACGAAATGCCTACTCCCCATATAATTGTCATAAATTCAACTACCCAAGAACACTATCTGCCTGATGATGATCCAATGCAAATGACACCACAAGCTTTACACATATTCCTTGAGAGTATTCACAACGAAAGTGCAACCGCATTGGGTGGTGATACGTATTTTGTGCGATTGAATCGAGCTTTATTTGAGGGCAAGAAGGCACTATTTGAAATGTGGCGCGGTAATCCTGTATTAACTTCGGTTATCTTTGGTCTTCCAATGGGATTCCTTTCACTGATTTTGTATTCCATCTTTTGTGGGGATTGTCTCGTCACAGAAGAAGAGGAAGATGATCACGAAAAGAAGGAGTAAACTATATACAAAAGTACTTAATTTTAGTATGAAAGATGGATGGTATCGATGCTAGAAAATTTGAAATCTCCTTGGTTCATGTAACATTAATTAAATTTCATGTATTTGACAATTATAAGTGTTCCATAGTTTCGATACCATCCAATAGATAAGTTTTACCTATACTAGCATAGTAAAATCTCTTTTCTTTTTATCGTGACTGTGTGTATCTATATTTCTAGTCCAATTTTCTCATATATTTATTTTCTACATTTGTATTTAATGGAAATCTCTTTTTTATTTTTACGAGTCATTTTTATTTCAAAATAAAAAATAGAAACTCTAGTGTTACTTGTTTAAGCAAATGTTTTGCAAATAAAGTATTACTAAACTAATGAGTTGCGGTATATCTTATTAAAACACAATAGAACAAAACATGGCCGGCGTTTTGGAAGATGAAAATAAAGGCTCATTCCTTGGGCCATTTATGGCCAATAATCAGCATCCGTAGTCATCATCATCGTCCGAATCGATGGCAGCACGACGTCTATCGTATTTAACTGTGCTCTTACTTTGAGGCATTTGAGCATTTACACTTTCTAAAATGCTCACAAATTGGGCATCATCCAATTTTCCTCTTAATTGGCCGGTTTGTGCCATTCTCAAGACCATATTTTCAAAGACGGCTGCTTTTTCCGGTTTACTAATTTTTAATGTGTTCACTGTAAAATGAAGAATATATTTCAATTTTTATGCATAATTGGTTTAAGTCAATAATAAATACATACGTCTAGCTCTAGCTTGTTGATCCAAGACCTGGGAGAGAATGGCATGTTTCATTTCTTCCTGTTGTCGCATTTGTTCTTCTTGAGCTTTCTGTTTATCGCCAGCATTTCCACCACCTGCTCCGCCGCCCTTTAATAGTAGAGGAAAGTGAAATTATTTAAATCTAATTCACTGAATATAAAAAGTCTAGACCGAAAACAAATACTATTGAAATCTTTATCGACAATATAGAATAAACCGACGTTATCCAAGTGTGAAAAATGTCCCTATCTCTTATTGCATTCAAATTCGCCGTAGCGAATCTGTAGCCTATTTGCTCGAAAAGCTGGCCTAAATTCTAAAATAGCGTAAAATGATTATAACGTTAAATGGGAACTAACCCGAAACTTGGACCAATATTGTTAACTTTTAATAAGGCAGTTTCAAACCAAAATATAAAAATTTGCCAAACTTCCTAAAATACCCAAACTTTGGTATGTATCGTTGTATGGGGGCCATTCTAAAAGGTGGAAAAATAAATATTGATCATTGGTAGGAAGAACTAGTAATCAATAAGAAACCAAAATACTAAAGCAGAGTTGTTCCACTGAATCCGTTTGGCCCTTTTTTTGGGTATTCAACTGGCTACTTCATTGTATATTGACCCCAAACTGTGATTTTCAATAACACATACCGCACTCTCCTACTCTTCAAAATAATGACTCATCCTTTTTAACCAAGTCCCTTTTCTACTTCCGAATATTAATTTTTCACATAAGAAAATAATATTGTCCATTTATGGCATTGGAAATGTATTCCTCTGTGTTTATTTATGGTTTTCCGTAACATGTGTATCAATATCCAGATGAATTGATTACCGGTTAAATCATCAGTTCTACGACCAGGTGGATTGAGGTATTAGAGAAATCCTTTATTATCACATTACTTACATATTGCGATTGAAGCTGTGCCATACGCTGGGCTCGAATTGCATCTAAATCGTCAGCCATCGCTCTTTAAAATATTATTAAAATATCTATCGCTTATTTTTTTATAAATTAATTTTGGTAGGGATGGTAACATAAACGATTATACGATTTGAGGCTATAATCGATTTTCTTTTATATTTTCGATGTATATGTAACAATTGGTCTGTTCCCGAATCTATTACTTTTTACTACGATAACGAATTTTCCTTTATGATATTGAAGAAAATAGTAAAATCGAGTAGATTCTTGCAGTACGGGAACAGACCATATAGGTCTGTTCCCGTACTGCCTATTAATAAAGTCACCAGGGAAACCAGCTGGAAATCGATACATCTCAAGTTTCCTGTCAAAATGTATTATTGAGTGGCGCTGATATTCAGCTGGTCTCCCTGTGTGACTTTATTTATAGGCCATGATAGGTATTAGAGTTGGGTAGTTCCGGAACGAACTAGTTCATTGGAACTATTCCGAGAAACTAGTTCCAACTCTTTAATTAATATAGTTTCTTTTTCTGATCTCGTTCCATTTTGGTATCGTTCTTTTTTCTGATCTCGTTGTTTTTTAACTAAAAGGAACTATAAAAAGCAAAGGAACTATAAAGACTAAAGGAACTACATGGAGCAAAGGAACTATATGGAGCAAAGGAACTATACGGAGCAAAGGAACTATATGGAGCAAAGAAACTATTTGAAACAAAAGAACTATTTAAAGCAAAGGAACTATAAAAAGAAAAGAAACAATGAAGAGCAAAGGAACTATTTGGAGCAAAGGAACTCCATTATTGTAGTTTCAAGATCTATAAATAAGGTCACCCAAGTAGCAATCGAAATCGGAAATCAGCTGTTTTTTTTCAATTCTAATGTCAAAAATGTCGATTCTGTTAACGTTTTCAATTCACATAATGCATTTAGACAGCAAACTTGAGTGGTGCAGATATACAGCTGGTCTCCCTGGGTAACCTTATTTATAGGCCATGGCATGATTCAATAATAAGGTCATCCGATAAGTCCACACGATTTCACCCGAGCTGTCAAAATGCTTTTAATTTTGACTTAACCAAAAATTTGACGGCTTGGGGGATTTTAATCCAAAATTGTAGATAACCATTGCTTCTGACCCGACCTGTTCATTGGATCATGGGCCATGGTCTGTTTCAGAGAAAAAAAAATCCAATGTGAGATAGAGAAAAAACTCTCATGACGAAGACCCATGACGAATAGTGTAAAAGAGCGCTATAAATGAATATCAGAGTCAAACTTGAATTTGGACGCCGTTCGCCTTTGGCAAGGACGCCACTTTAAAGTAATTTTACATATACGATTTTAAATCGACTCGATCAACGATATCCAGAAATACACCCTAATTGTTTATGCCATGTTCTGACGGGCATTCGAACAACGTAGTTCGCTCTCAGAATTACGTACATGAATTAACCCGTTCATACAACACTATTCCTAATTCATGTCATCAGAGTTTTTTATTTCAAACTTTTTGTTTCTTGTTTTACGCCAAAATTCTAACATATATACATGAATCACATATGGATCTAAATAGAAAAATTAATTCTCTTTCTCCTGACTATAGTATGAACCCATATCTATTTACTTTTAATTCATGTTTTCCATTTTTTCTGAAAATATTGTTGTTTTCATACATTTTTATATTTTTTAAATTCAAATGTCACATATAAAAATTTTGAGAATTTTTTGTTTGAGTGTCCCCAAATTTGTTTCTTGTTTTGTACGCTAATTAGAACCATGGGGAAAGAAATTCACATTGCATTATGTAGATAACAAAATGTACATCCTGCTGCATATATAAAAACTAGACAATTTTTTACGTTTCATTCATCATTTTCAATATTACTAAAAAAGTTTGAAAATTTTATAAATATTTTCAAGCTGTCAAAATTAATTTATTTTCGATAAATGCTCTCTGTTGTTAGGGATGGGACAAATTTCTTGGTGATTCAGAGAGTGATTCGAATTGAACAACGTACAAAAGTCGGTGTTCGCTCAGACAATTTTGTATGGGGAACTAAGTAATTTCTTCATAATTAAGGGTCGAACAACGAATGAGAGAGCGAACAACGCTGGTCTCCATTGGTGATATTATTTATAGGCAATGACACATACCTTTAATCATGATCTAAATGCCGATCAACTGATGTTAGTATACATACAAAATTATTAATTTGCCCCAAAAATATTTGTTTGCAATTTAAAAATGGAAAGATTGCAACAGTTTTGCAATGCTTTGATCGTTTGGAAAGTAAAAAAACACATAAAAACACAAAAATTCTATAAATAATTTTTATTTTCCTTTTTATCTTCAATTTTTGTATTTGGCAACCGTTAAATTTAAAAACAAACTACATGTGAAAACAGTTGCAAATTTTGGTACATTGTGAGAGAGTTGTATTTCTTCGTACAAAAACCACCTTCGCCTTTTTGCATTTTAGCTAACGATATGTAAATCCGCTTTTAGGGACACTAAAAATATGTTCCGTTCCTATGATTGTCATTATCACTTTTGAATGACCGTTTGTGTGGCCGTCATGTCCGACACTCATCAGGCAGCCACGAAAATATTCATAGTTTTGGGTCAGTAATCGGTAAATAAAGTGACCGTCCTCTTTTTTAGAAGACAATCATCTTTTTTCACTGACTGTCATCTATAAAATGTATGTCCTCTATTTGTCGAACAAACGAGTTAATATTAAATTTTTTTACTTACTTTGTGTTGGTATGCAGGTACGCGACATTGAACTGAGCTCAATTCAAGGTTAGGTTACCAGGCATTGTGTAGATCGTCGATTTAATGTGGTATCGACCTACATTCCTTTGTTCGTCCTCATCTGGAAATTGAAAGCAAGAAAATTATTATTTACATTCTGACCGAGGAATATAATTAAAAAGCTGAAACACGAACTAATTCGTACATACTTACGTTTTGGGAAAAAGCCTTAGTCACAAGCTGCCGTCAAGGTTCTACACTCTGGGTGCTCGCCGTTAAGCCCTAAAAGTACAAAAAGAAAAGAATACTTTCGAAAATTGATTTTTATTGGCAATTCTTTGTTTTTTTCTGAAATTTTTATATTATAATTCGCTGTAAATTGTTAGATTTTGATTCAAATTACGATGGAATGAATTGTTTTTTTTGCCAAATATGTAATATAGTTGTAATAAATATGTACTGGATTAAACCTGAAAAGATAAAAATGTCTTCGGCTTAAAGCCCTATTAAAAAGATGGTGGGGATGGGATAAAATATGGTAAGTCAAGGGTCAGATCTGGGACGTCCAGTATGAGTAGACGTCATGGCGAGAGGTGTTCTCGGAGGGAGGGCTATCTCCTGGCTGGTCAGCCGCCAGGAGCACTGTTTCTGTGAAGAAAACTAATGTTATTTTGGGATTTGGTTGCAGTTAGGTGAACGTTTTCTTCTATTTAAATTTTTTTGTTGACATGTTTCAGGCTTCTTTTTACCCCCTTTTTGATTTAGTTTGAAGTCCGGTATGATTTTTTTTTGTTTGTTCAACCGAAAAGATCTGCAAGTGGCAAGAACCAACCCCCAATCCGACGAGCCATAGCCGCGCTAAACGACAGCATACCGGCAACGCCACTTAATGGTCAACACAGCGATTTCATTTCGTTTTTCTTGAATACGGTTGATACAAAATGGCGCCCAGAACGTGGGGCCTGAGACATGTTAGCTTTTAATAATTTTTAGTCGTATTGTGTAAATGTGTTTACCATGAATCTTTAATGAGTCCCGTCTAGGTTTAATTAAGAGTCCTGACGCGTTGCTTCATCGAAGACTCAGGTAAACATCATTTATATTTGGGAAAAATATGATTTTTATTATTTTTTTTTCTAGTGGCTTAGTCGTTCTAGTTTAATACTTCTAATGGCACTAGCTTTTTAATAAACGTTCATATTTTAGTAAAGTTAAAATTTCAGATTTCTTAAAGTTATATCGTTGAAGAAATTCGTCTGGTTTATCAGTTCTCATTTGTGGAGACCCGTCCAAGCAGCCTATAAGGAGGCAGGTGACGCGCTGCTGCGCGAATATGAATTGTTATTCTCAAACGAATTTGTTAATTTGGGTTTTTTTAGATTTTAGTTTCTGTCTATATTTAATTTCAGTACCCGGAATTTGGTAGCTGATCTCAGACTTACCTAGAGTTTCCATTCGGTCCTGCGACAATTTTGGCTTCCGACCATTGGTCGTATTGTCATGGAATCTTTTAAGGGAGGTCTGAGTAAGCCGCCTATTCCATTTTAATTTTTCAGTCCATTTCAATTCTAGTTTTGCCAGTGTAGCTCACCAAATCCCTGTAAAAAGTGAAACATATTAAAATTCATACAGAAACAGTTTATTTGACCTTGACTTACCACTATTTTGACCAGAAATCCACCACCTAACACCAGCTCAAGGTGTTTCATCATCAATGTCCAATTCATCGGCACCGCCACCAGTTCCATTAAGCATGCAAGAGGCCGCTAACTCGTTTAACACGTCTTTTTGGTCACATGGAAGCGTTGCCTCGCCGAAATGATAGGGTTTTCTTATTAGCAACACCAACGAACCAGTAGAT